TATATTATATATTATATTATTATTATATTTTTATTTCTAAATCATTAATAGAAAATATTATTTTAAATATTCATTAAAAATTCTATTTATAATTACCAGTAATATAAATTTTAAATATTTCAATAAAACTTAATAATTATTTTAAAATATTTTTTTTGTACATTCATCTTTGTATTATATATATAAAAGTTATTGTTACTTTTACTAAATATATACAATATCTAATAATTATGTACAATTTCTATTTTTTAATACTTCAAATCTTATCTTTTTAAATACAATATGTTAATAATAATAATTATGAAAATAAATGGTATTTCAAATAAATTTAAATATGAAAATAATAATCATTTTGTTTCTAGTTTTATAAACCAAATTAGTATTTATTACAATTTTTAAATTCTATTTATATATTATAACATTAAGCATTTTATAACATATTATAACAAGTTTATATATAATATTAAATAATTTTATATGATTTTCCAATATTTCAAAAAGACAATTTGAGTATATATATCTTTAAAGTTTAATGTTTATTAGAAGAAATGTAACTAGATTCACTTAAGTTGATATTGCCCAAACAAATAGCAATATAAATTATAAACATTTACGTAAAAAATTATATTCAACAATATATATCAAAAAGAAATATATATATATATAAAAATTAATTTATGAACACAATAACTGATTTTAATTATGATAAAATTATTAAATATTAGAATAAAAAAATATACTTAAAAAAATTATACTTATTATTATATGTAATATAATATAATATTATATTATATTTATAATTATATGTAATTATGTGATGATAATTATATTACTTATTGAATATAAGCAATAAAAAGCAATAAAAATAAAAATATAAAAATGTAAAATCATTGTTTTTAAATATGATTAACGATTTATTAAATCATCAAGTACACATACTTACAAAATTAAAATCTACTAAAATATGTACATTATATATTTACATTTATATTTTTTATATAAGAATAAAATTACATATATAAAATTTGCTACATATTTTTTAATAATTAATTTAATTCTCTAATTGAAAATAAAAATACAAAATTATAAGTATTATTTTTAACATTTTCATATTGTTATTCAAATTATAAAACAAATATTATATAAGAAATTTTATTTCATTTTATTGATCGAACGACGACAAATTAAATAGTATTTAAATTAGATATACTTTATATAATTGAAATATATGTTATATTGTATCATAAATATTATTATAATATTATAATAATATTATAATATTATTATATATAAATTTTATATTTTCATTATAAAATATTACACTAATTTTTTTTAGGAAATTGATTATAATTGATACAAAATATATTTTAATCATGTTACGCATTCAGATTTAAATCAATGTCGCATGTATTGAATATTGAATTATATCTTAATAGCCAAGTTTCTTAAGCAATTCACAATTTATTTTCACACAATGAGTCACAAGGATATATTTATAAATCGGTACTCAAGAAATTTTATACCAATACTAAACTATGATTTCTAATATTAGTTATACAGTTATACAAATATAACATTAAAAATATCATAGAAAAGATCTTTGCTATATATTTATATATTAAATTCGATTAAATTAATTAAAATATAAGAGTAGTCTTGTTTTTGATTTTTTCTTTCAATATAATGTTAATACATTTGGAATGCAAAAAAGCCATTCATATTATTGAAAATTTTAATCAAAATATATTAAATCTATTTCTATTAATAGAATATTTTTCATAATTCATATTTAATACACGTAATATTTAAATATGCAATATTTTTATTTAATATAATAGAATAAAAATCGTTATTAGCAAATTTATAATATATTAATAAATTTTTAACATTTTAATTTTTTAATTTATAAAAATATATAAAAATATTTGGAGAAAAATACTTAACTTGTAAAAAAATTTAATGCTAAAACAACCAAATCAGTAAAATAATGATTTTTATTTTATGATTATTGAAAATATGAAAATATTTTTGGTAAAATTTGGTAAATATATTTTACTGAAATAAAAATATTTACTTATTTTTATAACATTATTTTAATTACATTTATTTATATATCATAAACTTAGTTCTAGAATTAATAAATGATTTGATATTCAT